CAAATGACATGATTAATTCTCAGAATCCTCTTCGCCATGTTGTCGGATACAAAGAAATTTAATTTATTTTCCTTGCGTTCACTATTTCTTTTTACTGCAGTTACAACGCTAATCACGTAACGCTAATCACGTAACGACAGTCAAGAGTGGTCAACGCGTCGAATTAGAACTCGCAATCCGGCGGTCCCGGTCCCTCTGGCCACTTGCTGAATTTGTTCTCAGTCGAGTCGTTCCGAGTTCAAACCCTCGGCCACACTGGTAAATAGCCAACTATGGTTGCCTCCTGCCAGTTTGGTTTTAATCCTGTTATGTTCAAGTTGGATTATTTGTTTCTAGTTATCTAATTTAAGTGGAGTGCCTGTAAACTAGCTGGATAAGCTCAGTGCACTTTCCACTATGAAGAAACCCTTAATTTGTAATCTCGGCTTTAAAAACTAGCAACGATTACTTATATGTTCTCGGCCCTCGTATATAGGAAATTGAATAAACTATTTCACCTGTTCGTTTGTTTCGTTTTTCAGATTCTGTTGTAGAAAAAGAGACTTGGTATTTCGAGAAAAAAGATAAAATATAGACAATTTTGTATTCTTGATGATCCAAAAATAGCCGCAATTTCGGAAAAAATGTACCACTGTCATTGGATCGCCAGTCGCCCACAAATCAAGTCCCGATCTCGACTTGACTGTTTAAAATCATTTATGTAAAATTGCTTTTTTGTTTTTGTTTATATGACCTTTTTAAAGTTTTATGAAAAACAATGAAGAACGGCAGGAAGGCCAGTGCTCTCTTTTCGGTTCAATGGTCTTACATGTAAATCAAAGATTAACATTTTGGCATTTAAAAATACGTATCCTGCGAATGCAGCCGTCTGTCCTCGCCCATCGCCGCTAGAGGCGTATTACATCCCAAACGGCGAGGAGCCAAGAGACACAGCTCTAAAAGATATGCAAATCTGACGGATTAAAAAACACCATTTATAAATGATTGTTTAATTTTCTTCGTTTCATGTACCAGATGATCAAACATGAAATATAGTGAAAAGAAACTCAGCTTTCCAAACGGCGACATCGCAATATAACAAAATTATATTGAAATGCTTATCTTTTTTTTTTTTGGACAATTTAAATCGCTAGTTTCTACCCATTTACTTCCTTCAAAACGACAACAATTAAATTTGAAAAATTATTGGCAAATGAACTACAGATTCGTTCACGACCAAAAAGTGATCGGTCCGCTGTACTCTTAAAGCTTGCCAAGATGAGAATTTCGCTTTAGTTCGGAAGAAAATAAAAAGCAGACGAAAAATCACGATTTAGACAATGAATACTATACGCAATATTCTACCTAAAATAAATGCTTACGATGATATAAAATAATCATGTTTGTGAACTGCGGAGGAGGGATATAGAATATGCCGCTCCTCAGTAGTTTCAAACTCAATATACTGATTAATACCTGTTTGTAAGAGACTTTTTCTTTGCTTGGCCTCTAAATCAAAGTATTATTAGTATTAGGATCATTGAACAACCAAATCAGATATGAAATGATCGAAGCGCTTGGAGCAAGAACATCGTGTGAACTGAATAAAAAAAAGGCAGCTGCTGACACTCGGAGGCTGGTTAAATCATTAACAGTCAAAGTCTTTCACAGATATTACATAATTCAGCTGCTCGTCCCAACTAATAGTAAATGGCCTGGGTTAGAATAGTCTGCTACACAGCAGTTTTTAGAGTCGTCACGCAACGCTCCTCCCCACTTGTGTGGAGGAGCGTTGCGTGACGACACTAAAAACGGCTGTGTAGCAGACTAGGGTTAAAATGTTCACACTCGTTCCAATATTTGCCCTGTTTTCCAGGCTGCCTTATAGGCCGGCTAAGCTACCAGCCGAGGCGCCTTGATGATGGCAACGCCAGGAAAATGATTGTGCAGCGCACAGGTTATTTTTTGTCATTTAGGATATTCATGACCAGTGTCGTTCAAATAAAATAAAAGAAACAGACCATAACCTTCAGTCCTGTAAGTCGTTCTTCAAGTACCAAACAAAGTGTAGTATAGGAAATTCAGTCAAACCACCTAACCACCTGTTAAGAGGCTAGTTACCAGTTTCACCAAGGGATAAAAATTGTAAGAAAATCACTGTAAACTCTAGACTACGAGTAGTAGTAGGGCGAGCGAAACGCGACCGCGCGTGAAAATCACCCCACGCGAGAAAAGGCGACACGCGGCGGGGAGAGAGAAAAATCTCTCCCCGCCCCGTGTCGCCTTTTTCGGGTGGGGTGATTTTCACGCGCGCTCGCGTTTCGCTCGCTTTACTATCCCTGAGGAAAAATGGGGACCACTCGTAGTATATGTAAACTCCTCTGTAGCGACCCCTCCCAAGAGCGACCCTTTAGGTACACTTAACGGCAATACATTAGCCTGTATGCTGGCGGGGTCATAGCTTGCGGAACAGGTGCTGCCTATAGTACCCAGACGTCTCTTTCGATGAAAACTACGGCCTTTCGTTTTTCTCCTTCCCGTGGTCTTTGCATTCGAGTGTCACTCGCATTTCGCGCTCGATTCTGTGCGAAAAACGAGGTGCCTGAGAAGGAGGTTGTAGCAGTTGCCGGTTTCTTCACAGCAAATGGGGAAACTTCGAGGACCCGCAAGGGGTATTTATAGAAAATACACAAAAAAACTAACCGGCGCTTGCAAGATCAGAGCGCCGAATTGCTTTTCGGCTGGTAGCCAGCGGCAAAGCCTCGAGCCTAGGCGTTTTTGTCAGCAGCGACGAAACGAGGGAAAATCCTAATCCAGGAACAAAATATAACCTGGATTGAGCTACTCCCGTGATTTCGTGTCACGGCGTTTACATGGGACCGATATCATTTTATGGCTCGAAGAGTCTTATGAGCTTCTTCTTAGGCCAACAAAATGTTGGCCGAGTGACTAAGGCTTTTAAGTATGTTCTGTACGAAGGCACTCTTTTGAAGAACTCCACTCGAAAACTGACAACTGTTTCAGCCTGCGAGCGAAGGTCTCCATGGCGCTCTGGCGTACCCCCGAGAGAACTTGCGTGCAGGGTACCAGGCGTCAGATCAGTGCTGCGTGGCGTTCAGAACGCGGGGAAAACGAGGGGAGACTGGAGCGAGAGCGAGGGAAGTACTTTCATGAGGGAAAGACGAAACGAACTTTCCTTCTCTTTTCCCTGTCTAGTCTCCTCTCCTTTTAAAATCCCCGTCAATTTTTCGTCCTAGTTCTTTTATCTGAACGCCGGGAATAGGCCATCATAGCCTGCATAACAGGCGTTAATGAGGGCGCTCTTGCGGGTTTTCAAGCGTGGGCGCGAAAATGCGAGACGCTCAAAAAACTTTTCTGGGCTCCCCTTGTCTGTTGTGAGGGCTACTTTTGATCTGTTAGCCCTCGGTTCCTTTGTCCAGGCCAAAAGTTAAATCCAAGGTCGCTTGATTACCCAACACTCACAAGCAAATATCAAGCTATTTTTAGTAATATCATAGAGAGTTTTTAATACAAAAACGCAAAGCAGCCAGTGCGGTCCGGGTGAATCCGTTTACCCGCTAAAACTGCCGCGCAAAGAGAAATATATCCGAAACTAGTATTCATGATATTTTGTATTTATCAGTTTCACTTGTACTCTTCACGGAAGCTTAATGGCCGGTAGAGCAAGTTTTAAGTTATTTCAAAACACGCATCAATTAGCGGAACACTATCAAGACATAATTTGTTCCCTGCAAGCAGAAACTACTTTCCGTTTATTTGACAGCTGATTTAAGGCGAGAGAAAGCAGGCTTTGCTAACAGGGAAACTAGCTCGCGGCCTTTGAGGGTGTCAGTCAGGTAAGTGCAAGAAATAAGTTGACTATGTAACCGGCTTTATAACTCCGCGATTACTCCCAGATATATAAGCTCTAAGTTTTCTTTGATTTTATTACTGACACTTACCTGTTTCCGTTCTGTTTACTTCTATCGTGATCAAGGAATACTATTGTATTGCAGTAGACCATGGAGTCAAGATATAAATGATAAATTTCCAAGTCTGCAGATTATGACCTCCTGAACCTCAACAAGAATGGTCTAGTAAACATTAACTTATATTAACTTGCTAACCGAGAAAGTGAAATATATCAAAATATATCAATATTTAAAAATGTCATTATTAATAAAAATGACCGAGGAAAAAGCAAGAACATGTAGTATCTCGAGCTGCGCGGCTTCGTCCGTAGCTTCTACGACGAAAATCCATGAAACCTTCCCTGCTCCCATTGTCTGTATTAAGAAATAGCCCTAATAAGATCGAGTTGGTTCACAGGTAACCCAAGCTTGAAATATGAGCATCGGCGAACATTGGTATTGTTGCGTAACATTCGAAATATAAGGATTTGTATGGGATAAAAACTTATCGTTTCTGTAACCTACGAAAATGAAAGGATTTCAATAAATAACAGCCTACCTTACGATTTTTTCTCTATATAGAGAGAAAACCGTTTACATAAAAACCCATAAAACGGCCATAAATAATAGGCCCGTGGACCACACAGGAGAGACGTAACACACATTTTAAGTAAAGTAAACTGTTTTTTTATTGAAATCCTTTCATTTTCGTAGGTTACAGAAACGATAAGTTTTTTTCCCATACAAATCCTTATATTTCGAATGTTACGCAACAATGCCGATGTTCGCCGATGCTCATATTTCGAGCTTGGGCTACCTGTGGTTTTAAGAAATAGCCCAAATTGTTGGGCTCTCGTTTGAGGTGATAAATAAAAGGCCCTTCAGGGGCGGATCTAGGGGGAGGGTGCAGGGGGTGCGCACTCCCCCCCTGAGATGACCTGCGGTTTTCGAATACAACTGGTATTCTGCCAAAAAAAAAAACTATGTGGTTTATTGGTGTTGAAGTAGAGCAAGAGACGAGTGCACCCCCTCGTAAAAAAATCCTGGATCCGCCCCTGCCCTTACATAACATCTCCATTGCCCAAATAGACTCCGCTGGAACGTTGTTCGCGGTTTGTCAGCTGCGAAGACTGCGAAAGGCGCGAAGATTTTCGTGAAGGATTCTTCTGTATATTTTTTTTGTAGGATATATTATTATGGCCACAAAAAGTAGAACGTATGGAAGGGGAATTCTGCGCTTTAATTCGTGGGAAACATGCAGACGTCCAGGACAGCTACACAACTCGCATGGTGCTCGTAAATGCGAAGAATCAGCTTCAGGCATGCCGCGTGTTGAAAATGGCAGTCAAAACCACGAGCAGAACGGCGGCGTAAAGTCAACGAACCTGAATGAAACAACGGGATCTTCGGAGAAGAATACTGTGGGTAAGCTTGACATTTCACGGAAGACATTTTTCATTTGATATCATCCGCACAGTGAGATGACTTGGATCTCAATGGGTAACCTGTGTCAGTTCTCACAGGAAGACCACTCCACTCCGATTTGTTTTTGTTCAAATTGTTGACACTGAAATTGCTGTTAAAATAATAGGTGAATTGTTCAATATGTATTTATGTACCGCACAGTTAAATCTTACACATTTCTGAGGAAAAAGGCTAGACCCTTGTTGTCCTCTTGATCATATAATCAATTCAAAAGAAATTTTGCAAAACTATGACAAGGGAATAAACAAGCAACTACTGAAGACAGAAGAGGAGAGGTTAGGTTTAGACTGTATGCCATATACAGAACCCTTGGGGTGAGTACTGCAGAATCCAATCTTGGGCACAGAAGTGGAGTCACCGAGGGAATCAGTACATACCCATTCTGAGCTTGGCAAAAATCCGCAGGGGAAATACCCCCAGATGGCTATTTTTAATAGGGGCACGTGATAGATTTCTACCCCCTCAAAATTTAAAGAGTCGAAAAGCCCTGGGGACGAGGTTGTTATAATCTCATCATCTTAAATCCAAATTTAAGATGGGAGTGGCCTGTGTTGGAGACGTAATTTAACCTTGGTTAAGAACGTATGTGAAGCAGTGCTGAGATCCTTGTTCTGCGATGCCAATGGACTTGATGAATAACTGGAAGTGTGTTTCAAATTACCTTCCATATTGATTGGCATATCGACAATGGCTTTTTTAACAGGCCAATTGTGGTGTGTACTCAAATCCTGGTACACAGGTTAGGTCTCTGAACAAGGATTTTGGTGCTGTTTCACACACAGAGTTTAGTTTTGTCTGTGGCGCAGGCTAAGATGCAAGGTGCTTGTCAATTTGAATCAACTTTTATAACTTTTTTCTTTTAGCACCCGGAGTACCAACTGTGCCAAAACAGACCAATGATAAACCTGTTAGACTTTTGGCCAAGTACAGTTATAAAGGAAACCCAGACAGACCAGGTGGATTTGATGAGTTAACAGTTACACAAGGAGAGAAGCTAGAATTTTGTAGAGCTCACCCTAAAAACCCACATTGGTGGGAAGCAAAAAATACAAATGGCAACGTAGGATTTATACCTGCTACCTACATGATGGTATGTTAGTGAGTCTTGAACCTGAGGCCTGGGGAACTTTTTTGGTCTAAAAATAAGGGGGGGCAGGCCCCACCCCTGGATCTGCCACTGGAGCATGAACAGGGAATGATGGAAGGGAAAAAGGGAGAGAGGTCTTTTTCTAACCTTCCCAGCACTCCTTTCACTGCCACTTTTGTTTATAATTAACTCAGATATCCCCCAAAAAGTGATCGCAAGAGACTGGGGACGAGGCAGGTGCATGTCAGCAGTGATGAGGAAGCCTGATTGATCGTCATTTTTACAGTCTGTTGACTTAAAAATACGCTGTACCAGGGACTAAAAGACCAGGGGGTGGAATCACTGGTTACCATACAAATAACCTACCCTCTGTTTTTAAGCATCTATCCAACAACCAATCAATTCATTAATCAATTAATTTTCATAGAATTGCCATTAACACGAAACACTGTGCTCTAAGAAAAATTGAAGGGAGCCCAGTACATCCAGGGTGCCCGGCATACGATTTCTAACAAAATCTTAGATCTTCTATCTTCTGGGAGCAAAAGTTAGGCACCAGGGGGCCGCCAGGCACTGCTAGAGCACAGCCTTGTGCAATCTTAATGGAATAAAAATAATGGTTGATTTGACTTAGAAAATTACTGATGTTAAATACAATGCAATTTATTAGGAAAGAAAATTTTGTCTGTATGATTTTTCGCTGGTAGGTCCTTGAAGACAAAATTTCGGCTTTGCCTTGGCTTGAAGACAAAAAACAACAATTGACTGAAGAGGAAGAAGAGAAAAATAAAACTCTAGGAACATTTGGTCAACCTCCGATCAAGCCTTATGTCTCAGGTGAGAAAATCAATTTATTATAAATAACAGCTGCCAAATGCCTAGCCCAAGAAAATTCCATACGGATTATGTGATAGTGGTTCTTTGGTGGTTGAGTGAGGAAAATTTCCTTCAACCATGCGGAAGCACTACCAAAACATATCGTAGGTAGTGACTTGTCACTAGTATGCAGTTCCTGCAGTTGTTCCTCAGATGTCAAGTAGGGACTTTAAGATCCAATGATGCGACGGCAACAATAACATAGCTTAAACGTGAATTTTTGTTCTTTCAGTCTTTCTTGCAATTATTCCTATCCACTTATTTTGTCAAATGTAGGCAAATGCTCCTTAAGTTGAATTCCAAGGGACCATGTCCAAGTTCTGAGAGAGAATTAAAATTTCTTCGTTGCTTGTTTACGTTCTCCATAAAACGCGGAATTTCGGCATTTTCACGTTGTAGTCATGCAGTGATGACAAAGAAATATACAAAAAAGCATGATGCACATGCAAAGGTGTTGTTTTGCTTTAGTTATTAAACCTACTTTTTTTTTGACGTTCTCGTTGCGGTCGTGTCATTGGATCTTAAAGTCCCTAATTTGTGAGGAAACCATTATATTCACCTTTTGTATCTCAGCTTGTATGCTGATAGCCTGAGAAAACAGCCGACATTTGGCAACACTACCACCGGTTTCCCTGCCAAAGTAATGGCATCTGAGAAATGAGTGCAGAAATTCCATTAACTGATTATGGGTCACTACCCAGATCTGGGTAGTGCTTCTGATTGCTCGAATCAAATTTTCCACGCGGCGTGACTAATCAGAAGCACTACCCAGATCTGAGTAGTGACGCATCATTAGTATGGAATTTCTGCCCTTGTTTCTCAGACGTCATTTGGTGTGGAAACCAGCAGGGGTAGCATGGCCAAATGTCAGCTGTTTTCTCAGGCTAGTATGCTGACCCTTGTGACACTTTCTGCTCTTTTCAGCCAAGCTGTGATGCTTAAGAAAATGGTTTGATTAATTTTTTGTGTTTTCTCTTTAACAGCATATGGAAACAACACAACAAAAGACAATGCAAGCGAAAACTTCTTCTGTGATGTTTGCAGCAAGAAGCTGAACGGACCTATTCCTTATAAAATGCATTTAAACAGCAAAGCACATAAGGAGGAAGTTGCATTGAGAGAAGAGTTTGGCTATTGATGACTGCTGTATCAAACAGATATTTTTTTGACGTACAATGCCAAAGATTCTACAGTTTGTTCTTCTGTTCAAATTTGGGAAAAATTTCCAGTAGCTTCCTCTTCTGGTTCCAGTTGTTGAAAAGGTAGATAACCCTATCCACCAGATAAATCTCTATCCAGTGGATAATGCAATAAATCTGTCTCCTTAACAGGGTTGTCAACCACCCACGTCTTCAAATATTGAGAATTGACTGGGGAAGGGATGATAGATGGCGTCATAATGCATGGCAGGTGACGTCATTTGTGAAAAAAAAAAAACGTGCAAAAAAGATGTTTGACCTAATTGGTTTACTTCCCACCAATCACATTATTGCTTGCTATATTACAATGGCGTACCAAAGTTTGTGAGGAAACGGTTTGATGTTAACAGTACGATAGCTCAAACAACGCAAAATATTTATTTTGAAACTTCATTGTCAGAAAGTTGAATCTACAAGAAATGGCAAACTTTGGCGATTATCCAGGGGGGTTCAGACTCTAATCTGGAGACCAGGAGACATGGTTCAAAATCTGGAGTCTCCCGGATTACCCGGGAGAGTTGACAGCCCTGCCTTAATCCATTAGATGGTGTCATTTATCCAGTGAATAGCACTATCCAATGTTTGAACAACTGGGCCCTGATTAACATGGAGTTTGGGAAGGAGATTGAGTTTGAGTTAGCATTCACTCCAGAACCTTCAGTTGCCTTGTCTGTGTAAATCATAAGTTTAAATCATAATACCTTATTTAATTTTGCATGCAAACAGGAAGAACAGTAATCATTCCGTATTTGGATAAAAGCAAAATTTTATCTTCCGCTTTGTGTTTCTGTCACTTAATTTGATTACAGTTTACACCAGAACAGAAAAGAATTGAATAATATATTATTATTTAATTGACCTATACAGTTATACTGTTTTTAAATAAACTTCAGTAAATGGATACTGTATGTTGTTCCTATTTCTTTGCTTTTCTGTTCTTTTCTTTCATCCCATTTCCTTTGAACGTATGATCAGAGTGACAGTCATTTTGTTACTGTGGGTGCCAGAGGCTTTTCATTCCCGGTTTCAGGTATAATTTTGTAGAATTCCAATGTTTTAAAGTGTCCAGTTTATGAAGACCAGGCACCATTTGTGTGCGGATCTTTAGTATACTTTTTGAAAGTTTGGTCAAAGTTGCATAGATCATGCAAAGGCACCTTAAAATGTCCAAAAATGCTATGAAGATATGAATTAAGCTACCTTTCTTAGCACAAAAAAATGTTCTATTTGTTAAAATAGGATCAATAATACATTTTCAAAAATAACCTTTAATTTAGTTTTTCATTGTTGGCACAAAAATGTTTTGGAATCATCTGTCCTTATCGTTAAAAACATTATTTCTTAATTATTTCCCATTTTTGTTTTCTTTATTTCTACCTTTCTTGCTTTCTTTCCTTCCCATTTTGGGTCGGTTTGCGTGGCTACCAAGTAACCCGCCACGCTTCCATTACGATCAACACTTCCAGCGGTAAAAACTGGTCGTTTATACTCAAGTTCCAGACCTCATTTGTACGGTTGAACAGTATTCATGGCTTTCAACTTCCTTGATATGGTTGAGCAATAATGTATGAGCGTCATGGATTCAAAATTACATCTTTCTTTTACACATTCGTACATTTAAACTGAGTTATTCGAGGACATGAGGCATGAGTTCGACGACGTGGAAACCAAATCCGAACGCGAAGCCTTTCACACCGGCATCCGCGTTTTTCAGCGTTCCCATTCCATGCAAGAAGACTCCTATTCGCATACGAAAGAAAGGGATATTTAGTAGAATCATTCAATGGATTTTAGTTGTGGTTCTTTGCGTGACAGTGATCATAAATTTGATATTTATTTGGGATACTACGAGGAAATATAGAACTGAGAAAAATTCTGACCAAACAGCCCCGGGGAAAATAAATGAGTTGAACCTCAGAGAAAATCCAGGTAAGCAATGTTTTATCTTTTTAAAACGATCGCTTTTATCCTTTAAAATCTCTGCTCTTTTAAGTTTTCGCCGAGACAGTGGCTTGGATGGCAATTTTTACATACATGTTAAAAGATGTAAACAATGGTAATATTTTAATATTTACTTATTTTTAGTTCTGATGTTAATGAGAGAGTAACACACCTTTATTTCGAACTTTGGCCATTTTTCGAGAATCAGTATTGTGACAGATAATTACATAACCACTATGAGAAATAAAATTGAGAGAAGTAGTTGAACTGTGATAAGGCAATGTCGATTATTTTGATATGTTTAAGGGATAGATTTTTTTAGTGGGGAGGGGGTATGGGTGATTTGGTTTGGGTAAGTAATTTTTTCCCAAAACCTCTGGAGAAAGAATTTTTTTCCCCGACACATAACAGTAAAAGATTTTTTTCCAGTATCATACAGCAAGGGATATTTCTTTTCAGTGCAGGATACTTTTTTGCCCAGATATTCCCTTGCAAGCTTTTTATCCCCTCGAAATCAGTCTGCAATCTATTTTTTCTGAAATCACCCATACCCGCCTCAAAAGCAGTGATGCCAATTCTCCCGCTTTTGGCGGGAGACTTACGCTTTTTTGCCTCGTCTCCCGCTCTCCCGCTTTGGTACATAAATCTCCCGCTTTTTACGTCCACTGTAAATATTGAATACTTAGTAAAAAATAAAACAGACTTAGTTTGAGATTTAGCCCATTTTTAGCTCAAAACTTGAATTTTTTTTTTTCGCAGTACGGTTTCTAGGGCATTTTTGCAGCATCAAAACGATGATTTCGAATTTTGATAGTATGTTCATCATGTAAGACGTCATATAATGTCCTAAGTCATTCACATTGGGGGCTGGGTCAATTTTTTTTTTGGGCGGGGGGGTCATTGAAATTCCGGGGGGGGCGGGGGTAGTGAAAAAGAGACAGTCTCCCGATTTTAGGTCTCCAGAGGTTGGCATGTCTGCAAAAGTCAAAAGGTTGACCCCTAAGTTGAAATGATTGGTAAAGCATCTGGGTTGTTGTTGTTTTTTGGGGGGAGGGGGTGCAGGATGGGGGGAATGGACTAGTTGGAGGTTTTCCTTAATACATACATTGTAAGCTAACATTCAACAATTTGAAGGCAAATTATATCAGATATTACAATATTATGTACTACTATGTTTGTATTTATTATTAATCAGATATCATGATATTATGTACTATGTAAAGTGCTTAGGACAGTGATGTATAAGTGCTATAAAAATTATAAATTATTATTATTATTATTATTATTATTGGATATCACAGCTGAGACAGGACTTTACCTCTCGTCAGCTACATATACATTATTTGCCAATGAATATTTTTAGCATTCTAACCTATTGTTGGGATGTTTTGTGGACAGACTTTTGTGTTCTAGCCCAAAAACTTCCATAATGATCACATAAATCTGTCCACAATCTGGTGTGGACATCTAATTCATCAACATAGTTATATATTATACTCTTTTTACTGCTAGAGGTAGAATGTACAAGGTGCTGAAATTATGTTACAAGAAACACTCATTTCCTAGAAATATTTTTGCTTTGCACTAAAATTGACAAAGAAAAGCTTCAACAAATGACCACCAGATTATTATATAAACGTTGATTTTTGTCACCAGTGTGGATTTTTTTAGACTTCTGTTCTCTTCTCTATTTGTCTACTGATAGAAACCACAAGTTTGTTTTCTGATTGTCTAAGTAAAAACCTGCTTGTACTATATTCTGTAGCAAGTGCACAGTGGAGGCTTCCCTTTGGAGATCCCCGTTTAAAAAGAGAATCATTTTGTTTCTGGCCGAACCAAAAGTCCAATCATTTCTTTATTCACTGATAACACCGCTGAAATTTGTTATCATTTTCAGGTCCTCAAGTTGAGGGTCGTAGGATCACCATCGAAGTTCAATCTAGTAAGGATGTTGCCTCGGTCACAGTTGATGGAACAAAGGTACAGATTATAGCTGAATAATAATTCAGAATAATAATTATTATTCTTTCTTTATAATCAAAGCAATGCTATTCATATCACACATACACTATATTCTCCCCCTTGGAGGCAAAGTCACTGGGATCAAAACCAAGTCTCTTTGTCATGTTACAGTGATTTTGTTTCCTCTGCCTCCTGTGTTCCTGATGCGTAAAAATCCCCAAAGACGCAAAATAATTTGTGGCAAGCGTCCCGCAGGACACAAAGATCGATTGATTGATCTGAAAATGTTTTTTCATAGAACATCCTGTTTGGTGATTTCTCTGGCTGTTCTTGTGGCTGTTGTTGAAAGACGCTTATTTCTTTAATTCTCAAGGAAGGCATATATTTTATTTCAGTAAACTGTAATACAGAGTTTTGGAGTCTGTCTTGAGATTAACTGTGTGGTTACAAAAGACCCAGGCACTCACTTTTTTTTGAACAGGAACTTAATGATTCTTGACTGGGACTCATGGTTTTTTACAAGATGAGTCCCAGGACTCACCATATACTATTTGTAACAAAATCACTATGTTAATCCCTGAAAAATTGCCTCAGTTTGCCCTTTAATAAAATCACGCCCAAGTCAATAGGTGCAAATTTCTATTTTAAGGTGTTGGAAGGCATAGATGAGCAAGCAAGGGGTGTGAATGTCGCAGTACTCAACCAAATGACAGGTGCTGTTATGGCAACAAGAGCATTTGACACCTTTGCTAGCAAAGAGGATTCTGATGCTTTAGTCCTATTTATCAATATGGTTTCTGATGGAAGAATTTTATGTTTTGCAATACGGGTGAGTTCTTTGTATTCATCATACAACCCTAGGGTGCTGGTCACTTATTACCTGTGAGGGGGGGAGGGGGCAGCCATTTTACTAGGGTAGGGTGCACCATGGCCTCCCCACAGATGTCCTTTGGGGTTCGTTCGTCACGCATTCATTTCTCCCCCACTGAAAAAATGAATGCGTGACGAACGAACCCCAAAGGACGTCTGCGGGGAG